CATTCCTGCTCAGGAGACACCTGTGAAACCGACCTCTGCTGTGGTCCTGCTCTGTGGGGGGGTCAGGGTCCGGTGGGGTCTGCAGGACGGACACACTGTTCTGGTTGATGATCCTCAGCTTCAGTTTGGGTTTACACCTGCAGACAAGAAGCAGCCTGTCAATCTGGAGACCCTCCATCGCTCACCTGAAGAAGAACGGGGCGGCGGCTTTACCTGCGATACCTGCGCGGTGACGTCAGAGGCTCAACCAGAGACTGCAGGTGAGACAGACCCGACTCGGTGAGACACACTCCATCCTGAGTGTACGTCTTTGTGTCTGTAAACAGTTATATCATTACTCGACAGCCCCGTGTAATATCACCTGACACCAATGATTTAGCCCCCACAGTAATCAGATTACTTCTATCAGCAGAGTACTGTCTCTGATATCAGATTACAAACTAGCAGTTCACATTCAGAGATTAACTTCAGGCTCCACAGCAGGAACTGAACTAAAGTGAGTCTTTTCTGAGCTTCTGGACCTGCTGGTTACTGCTCACACTGGGCTGCACCGGCTTTGAGCTGCTGCTGACTGGATTGACTACGATTTCTTTGAGTTTCTAGTTTGGTGCCTGAATCTTCAGTGTAATATTCATGAAGTGTTATATACTGTACAGTAAGAGAAAAAAAAGAAAGTATCTGACCATGTTCTCTGATCCTGGAGATGATCTGAGCCATGTAGGGGCCCAACGTTTCGGACCTCCCTGAAACAAACACAGATCAGCGTGAACACTGATGTCACCATTAAAACTTGTATTCCTGCTTCCGGCTGAGTGAGTTTTTACCGAAGGAACTGCGGCCGTGACTTCTGCACAGCGAACAGTCGAAGCCTTCGTCAGCGGCGAACTCCACCTCATCCTCCGTGGTCAGACCCTGACACACAGCGTGGACCCACCTGCACACACACAGTTTAAACCAGCAGATTATTCACAACCACCTGTCTGTAGTCCTGTCTGGTACCTGTCTAGTACCTGTCTGTAGTTCTGAGCGTTACCTGTCT